ATCACTGTAACAAGTTCATCAGTTTTGTTGAATTAACTAAACTGCTTTAACTGGATTTTGAATAAATTTGCAATTAATTGGTGCTTTAACTGGATTTTGAATAAAGTTGCAATTAATTGGTGCTGTAACTGGATTTTGAATAAATTTGCAGTTAATTGGTACAATTAATTGAATTTCATTGTGTGATTGTCTTCCTTAGCAGGTCAGGCAAACCACTCTTCTGAATAATGCTTTCTTTATCGTAGGGTGTGTCTGTGTGTGTGCTGGGGATGAGTTTATGAGTCCATCATCCAAGTCGTTGATAAAGATGTTGAATAAGACCGGGCCCAAGACAGAACCCTGTGGCACCCCACTAGTCACTCTTCTCCAGGATGAAGAGGAACCATTGATGAGCACCCTTTGGGTTCGGTCAGTCAGCCAGTTACAAATCCACTGAGTGGTAGCATAGTCAAGACCACATTTTACCAGCTTCTTTACAAGAATATCATGAGGCACCTTGTCAAATGCCTTGCTGAAATCAAGGTAGGCTACATCCACTGCGTTCCCTTCATCCACCAGGCTTGTAATTCTGTCAAAAACGAGATCAGGTTAGTCTGACATGACTTATTTTTCAGAAATCCATGCTGACTATTGGTGATCACAGCATTCCTTTCTAGGTGCTCACAGACTGTTTGCTTAATGATCTGCTCCAGAATCTTCCCTGGTATTGATGTCAGACTGACTCAAGTGGCTTGGAAATTTGGGGAACCACTGCATTAATCTTTTAAGGTGTTACAAAACCCTTTGCTCTTTTTTGCTACAACTCACCCCGACTGCGGCATCTCTGCAAGATCTCTAAAGGCCAAACTGCTTTTTTTGGGTAGAGACGTGTTTCCCCCTGCAGAGCTAATAGCAGCTTTTGGGGAAACGAGGCGGGGGAATCCAGGAAATGTCACTAAAAGAGAGATTTAAACACCCACCCCCACTTTCCTGGTCTTCAAGGCAGCCACATGGAGCTGTAAATTAGTAAACACAACCATCTCCCCCCCAAAAAACCCCCAAAATATGCACATATTCTTTTTCTGTCTGCCTGAAACATCTGCCAAACAATTTCAGTGGTGAACCCAAGGCCTAGCCTTATGTACCAAAGCCTAAAGCTTTTTCTTTGAGTCCCTGATATAATGCAGTTATGAGTATGGGGTGTGTGTGTCAGTGTGTACGAAACCCTGGGCCCCTTGCAAAGCTGTGATGTGGGACCTGCGAGGCTGAAATTTATGACCTGGAACCTGTTGAACAGGTCAGGCAAGTCCCATAGCCGCTCAGCTAAGTACCAACACCTGCAACTTTAGTGACTTCCTCATATCCCCCTGGTTGAATTTCAGTGTACAGTGGTACCTTGGGTTAAGTACTTAATTCTTTCCGGAGGTCCGTACTTAACCTGAACCTGTTCTTAACCTGAAGCACCACTTTAGCTAATGGGGCCTCCTGCTGCTGCCGCGCCGCCGGAGCACAATTTCTGTTCTCATCCTGAAGCAAAGTTCTTAACCTGAAGCACTATTTCTGGGTTAGCAGAGTCTGTAACCTGAAGCGTATGTAACCTGAAATGTATGTAACCTGAGGTACCACTGTATATCATTTTAACGGTTTTCCAAAACCACCATTCTTATAAAATTAACGTAGTCACTTAACATCTTTTTTCCCCCTTTCCGACATATTAATTCATCCTATTACCTGATTATGTCCTAAGCCTATCTGTTATTTGCAAGCTTCTCCAATTAATTTAACTAAACATACTTTACTAAACAGTCTTTAAATTTCGTCCTTTCTACCTGGTAATCCTCCTCAACAATGTTTCCAAGTTTGGTTTAAATACGGTTGAGATTTATGTTTGTTTGTCTATTTGTGTGTTTGTTTAAAAAATCTTTGGAAAATTAATAACAAAGTTTTTGGGGGAAACCACACCTGCAACTTTAAAAAGTGAGCTCTGTTGCCATAGAAACCAATGGGTGGGCCTTTCCCCTCCCAACCTCACCTGGCTGGTAGGGAGAGAGCAGGGAGTCAGCTGACGCTGGAAGATGGTTAATGCTCTTGGTTGTGTCTGAAGCTTTGATTTGAAGTATTCCCTGCAAGCCTGATGGGGAAGCCAGATGGATTGTTCATGCTGTGAGTCCTTTCATTCTGTGCTCAGTTTGTATCCGCAGCCCTTTCAACCTGTGCTCAGTTTGCATCAACCGTACGGTCTGCAGCACGATTGCAGGGGTTCGTTTCCAAAGGCAGATATCCACAAAAACACCTATACTTGAAAGACTCCTTTGCAACTGCCGTGCTTTTAAGCTCTCTGCCTTGCTCACTGGGGACAGCTCATTCAGTGTGCTGGCTCTGGGACGCTCTCACAAGATCTTGCGGGGCTGTCTGAATTCTTGTGCGATCCCGCAGAGCTGTCCCCAGTTGCTTCCAGAGCTGGCTCACAGAGAGGGTTTTGCCTGGTAATCAGGGCAGAGAGCTCAAAAGCTCGTTTTGCCTTGGGGAAAAATTGTCTGCATTTAATTTGCGCAATTCCAACCAGCCCGCCTTCAGCCATGCAAGGCTGAAATCAAACAAGTTAAATGTGCGTAAGATACAATCGTACAGTGGATGTCCCAATAAATCCATAAATCACAGTTTCCACTGACTGGACCCTCAGTAAAAGCCCAGAATCCCTGAAGTCTCTTGCCATTCAGAGATTGAGCACGTAAATACTTTTTTTTAAAAAATGGAAGTTGATTTTTGGAAAAAACAAAAGCATTTTGTGAAGACGGGGTTTCAATGAATATCTAAGGGGTAGATAGATAGATAGATAGATAGAGATATAGATAGAACTTTATTCGCATTAGCCAATGGCCATAGCAACAGTAAAACATTACAGTATACACAGAAAAGGAAATTTGATATAAGAGCACAATTTAAAGTCCTGAATCAGCCATCAGTTAGTGGCCCTTATTCTGATTGCCCCTTCTATGAACCCAGCAACCTTTGCTGTTATCTGCGCATTTTGATCTGATAGAAAAAAGGACATTGTAACAGTGGTTGAGCGCCCTAGGATGGTTAGTACGAGTGGGGTGATGATCTCGTTCCTCAGGTCTTTGTAGAGAGTGCAAGACAGGAGGACGTGTGCCGCTGTTTCGGTGCTACCATCTCCACAGGGGCAAAGACGTTTCTCAGGTGGGATCTTTTGGAATCAACCCTCAAGTATCACAGATGGCAAAACATCCAGTCTTGCAAGTGTAAAAGCACGTCTGTATTTTGGGATCATGTTTGTGCAGATATGGGGCCAGAGAATCAAAATGGAGAGGTGGAAAATGAACATACCAAGGGCAGAATTTCCTTATAGTGGCCAGGTTGTTCTGATGCTCGATATCTTTTAGACATTGACCAATTGTTTGCTTTAGTAGGGCCCATAGTGAGTAGGTGTTGTGGGGACAGGCCACTAGAGAGAAGTTTTTGATAGACAGTTTTAAGCCAGGCACTTTTATGGGAGTCTTGAAGTACTAGGGATAGTAAACCGGCAGGGTTTGAGTTTGGTGAATCCAGAAGTTAAAAAGTTCTTTGCCAAGTCCGTACTTCTACTGAAGGGAGACCTGCCTCCAGTCTCAATGATGGGTTTGGGATGTATGGTGGTACAGAAAAAATCTGCCTTAGAAACTTTGATTGAACAGCATCCAAAGTGCCAAGGTGGTTACCAGTCCAAATCTGAGCCCCGTATAGTAGCCCCATATATCTAAGGGAACTTCTGTTTCTCAACAAAACTTTGACAACATCTCTAAGACACAGATGCAGCACTACCGTAGTGGAAATAAAGGAACTCTGGGCTTCACGAAGGTACGGCTGGTATCAACGACAAAAGATAATTTGGGTCCTACAATTTATGTCATAGTGTAAACCAGAGTTTCCGAATTACCGGTCTACTTTATTCTCCGACACTCCTCCATCCCTTCTTCCCCATTTACAGACACATACATCTTAATAACTTGTACTCCATCAATTTTTGGATGGCACTTTTATTTTTAGTGAACACCCAGTAATTTTTTCATGCGATTGGCAAATTGAAAGGAAGAGGAGGGGGCAGGCGGGGATGTCATTGAGAAGGAACGACAAGGACAGAATCCACCAGTGAACGAGTGGAATGGGGGACAGATCAATTAACTCAGCGCCTCCAAAATTATCACAATATCCAAGCCACTGTTCCTTATGGGGTAGCCTCTTATTGCCTTTTGGGTATATTAAAAAAATAGAGCTTCTACATAAGATTTGGGGTGACAGTTGTGGTTTGCTGTTGATAGAATTATTATTATTATTATTATTATTATTATTATTATTATTATTATTATTAATTTTTACCCCACCTTTCCCAGTTCAGAAAACCAGGCTCAGGGTGGCTAGCAACAAATTTAAAACACTTAATTGATGCTACAAAAAACAGCATAAAATACGGTATAAAACGTGAATAACAATAAAATCAAAAATCAATTTAGGGGGGAAATCCATCTAATAAACATTAGATGATCCCCAGGGCTAGCTGGCTAAATGAGTCCTACTTGGGCCAGTGAGGAGACCAGGGGAGAATTAGCTGTGGGATCCCAGAGCGGGTAATCTTCATAAAAAGGGGAGGGGGAGGGAAGGAAGGGGAATAAAAGATCAGGCTAAGTTCAAATTGAAAGCCAGGCAGAATAGCTCTGTCTTACAGGCCCTGTGGAAGGAAGTTAAATCCTGCAGGGCCCTGGTCTCATGGGACAGAGCATTCCACCAGGTCGGAGCCATCACTGAGAAGGCCCTGGCCCTGGTGGAGGATAGTCTGACTTCCTTAGGGCCCAGGACCTCTAAACTATGGTTATTCATGGACCTTAAGGTCCTCTGCGGGGCAGACCAGGAGAGGTGGTCCCGCATACTGGACAATTTCTGAGCACTTAGAGAATCACAGAACCGTAGAAATGGAAGGGACCCGAGAGTCATCTAGTCCAACCTTTTGTACTGCAGGAATATTTTGCCCAACATGGGGCTTGAACCCATGGCCCTGAAATTCAAAGTCTCATTCTCTACTGACCGTTGTTCCTAGATTGACTAGGAGTTGCCTGGTGTTGCTGAACCTCCAGCAAAGCTTATGAAATCAATCCTTTTGCTTCTCATCTCTCTCCCACTGATGAAGTCTGTTGGAATAGCTGCCTGCTGGTGACAGTTGGGGGGGAAAGAAGTCTGATGGAATAATCAGCCTCTGAGTACCTGTTTCTGGGAATCACAGTTGGAGAGGAGCATTATTGCACCCAGGTTCAGCTTGTAGGTTTCCTGTGGGCATCCGGTTGGCCACGATGAGGACAGGATGCTAGACTATCATAGAATCATAGACCTGCGGCTTTGGAAGGGGTCCCAAAAGTCATCTTAGGCCAAGGCTCTGCAATGCAGGAATCTCAGCTAAAGAATCCATGACGATGTTAGGATATAGTTCCGTTCCACCTTTAGAAGAGGCATGTGGAGTTGTTGTATGTCACATGTCTGTTTACTTCCAGCACAGTCTGCTGGGAACTTCCGTTGTATATAGCTTTTGCCTATGCTTTTTGCTTGGACACGAAGGGAAGCAGACATGTTTTTCCTTTGTTCTAATGCTGACTAAATGCTTGTAAATATGCTTACATATGCATCTGTCCGCTACTTCCGTTGCAAAGAGTTCTTATCTCTGCTGGCTTGTGTGCTCAGTCTCTAAAGGTCTCTGAGGACTGAGTCGCAGTTTTGATGCTGTTCCGAATTTGCCCGGCCGCCGGCCGGTGGGCTGAAGCCATCTGGGGGCCTGCTAATTGCCCCCGTCTCCCTGGACACATCCAAACAGACAGATGGCCATCCAAACTCTTCATAAAAACCTCAAATGAAGGAGAGTCCACAATCTTACACCATCAAGAGTCCCTTACACCATTGAACAGCTCTTACCATCAGAAAGTTCTTCCTAAGTCGGAATCTCCTTTTTAATAATTTGAATCCATTGCTTCAGGTCTTCCCTCCTGGAGCAGAAGAAAATAAGCTTGCTGCATTTCCCCATGTGACAGCCCTCCAGATATTTAAGTCTCCTCTTCTCCCGGCTAAACATACCCAGCTCCTTCAACCGTTCCTCATAAGGCTTGGCTTCTAGACCCTTAATCATCTTGGTTGCCCTCCTCTGCACACCTGTCAGCTTGTCAATATCCTCCTTAAACTGTGGTGTCCAGAACTGGACACAGGATTCCAGGATCTGACCAAGGCAGAATAGAGTGGTACTATGACTTCCATTGATGCTTCTGTTGATGCAGTCTAGAATCATATTGTGGCCTGATCCAGCAAGACTCTTCTTATTCTCTTAATTTGTACCACAACAGGACATTTATTGTTCAGAAGTGGACTAGCATTGCTGAGCCTTCACACTTCAGGCGGGTTCCCTGGTCTAGGACCCAATGCAGCTGTCCTCAAGCCCAGCTGCATCTCTTGAAGGAGAGTGGAGCTGTATTTGAAGCTGGTCACGTCAACCACACTCCAAGCAAGGGTTAAATGGGAGATAAAGAAGAGACCTCCATCTCTCCCTGCCTGCCCCCCCATCTGTCTGTTGACAGCCGCTTAGTACTGCTGGAAAGGGAGGTGGGCGCAGAAGTGGAGCAGGCAATTGAGACGTGGGAACATTAGCCGCATCGAGCGGGTGACCCGTGACGGCATGGCGGAGGCCTGCCTTTTGTCCCGCTCTGCCAAATATTTCTTTCGGGATTGAAATGCGCAGGAAACGTACTCCCAAATGATCGCTGTTGAGAATAGGATGGGCTGAGGGGGAAAGGAAGGCATTGTAGGTGGAGAGCAAATTACCCGGGCAATTCATCGCGCAATTTCAAGGATGTGCTGCAGGGATAATATATTCTGAGTGGTGAGAAATTTCGTTTAATTCTCTCTCTCTCTCTCTCTTTGTGGAGTGTCTTCCCCACTGTTTTGATTCACACCTTCTTCCACCTCTCTCCCTCCCCATCTTGCCTTCTTCTCCTTGACTGACTTGTAGCCTGGCCTGCCTGCGGATGTACGCCGAGAGCCAAAAGGAACGGCTACCCAAAACCCTCCTCTACAAATGTCAATGTCTAATCCTCCTCCAGACATTGCTGGCGTGCTGAATATTCTTCACAAGGTTGGCGCTTCCTGGGCGACATCCATTTCATCTAGAAGCCAGGGTGATGGAGGCAGGGTGGTGTCGTGGTGACAATGTCCGACTGGAACCTGGGAGAGACCAGGGTTCCCCACTTGGCCATGAAGCTTTCACTGAGTGACCATGGACCAGTTGCTACATCTCAGCCTAACCTGCCTTTCCAAGTTGTTGGGGGGATGAAACGAGGAGAGGGGAGAACCATGTACATCTATAACCGCCTTTGCACTCTGGTGGCCTCCAACTTCTCCCATAGCATGCAGGTTGCCCCAGTGAGGAGGAGGGGGAGGAGGAGGAGGAGGAGGAGGAGGAGGAGGAGGAGGAGGAGGAGGAGAAGAAGAAGAAGAAGAAGAAGAAGAAGAAGAAGAAGAGTAGTAGTTTGGATTTGGTATCCTGCTTTATCACTACCTGAAGGAGTCTCAACGCAGCTAACATTCTCCTTTCCCTTCCTCCCCCACAAGAAACACTCTGTGAGGTGAGTGGGGCTGAGAGACTTCAAAGAAGTGTGACTAGCCCAAGGTCACCCCAGCAGCTGCATGTGGAGGAGCGGGGAAGCGAACCCGGTTCACCAGATCACAAGTCTACCGCTCTTAACCACTGCACCACACTGGCTCTCTAAGATGTTGTGAATAAGATGTTGTGGACTTTCACTTCCCTGACGGAACCTGCAATGTCAACATTCTATTGCAATATCTCAAGGTCTGCCTCTCCCCATGTGATCATCCTCAAAGGCCCTTCTTCATGTGTCTCCTCCATGAGACCCAGAGGACAGCAATACAATAATGGCCTTTTTCTGTGGTGGCTCCCCATTTGTTTGGGTGCTCTCCCCAGAGAGGCTCACCTGGTGCCTTCATTACATAACTTTAGGCATCTGGTGACAGTGTTCATCTTCTCCTAGGCCTTCAGCTGATTGAACAAGCTTTGGCCTTTTAAGCTGTGTATGTAATTGGGGGCCATTGTTTCATTTGTTGTTACGTTGTGTGTTTTCGCATTTGTATACTGTAAAAGAGAAAACTCCCTGGAAAAGACCCTGATGTTGGGAAAGATGGAGGGCACAAGGAGAAGGGGACGACAGAGGACGAGATGGTGGGACAGTGTTCTCGAAGCTACCAGCATGAGTTTGACCAAACTGCGGGAGGCAGTGGAAGACAGGAGTGCCTGGCGTGCTCTGGTCCATGGGGTCACGAAGAGTCGGACACGACTAAATGACTAAACAACAACATACTGTAAAACACCCACTGCGCCTTGAATGGAGGGTGCATGGAAATTCAACAAGTAAGTAAATACAGTGGTACCTCGGTCTACAAACTTTATCTGTTCCAGAAGTCCGTTCTTAAACCAAAACTGTTCTTAAACTGAGGTGCACTTTCCCTAATGAGGTCTCCCACTGCCGGTGCCCTTCCACTATTCAGATTCTGTTCTTAGACTGAGGTAAAGTTCTCAAACCGGGACACTACTTCCGGTTTTGCAGAGTTTGTAAACCGAATCGTTCTGAAGCCGGACTGTTCTTAAACCGAGGTACCGCTGTAAATCACATTGTTGACACACACCTTGCACTTAAAAAAACCCAAAACCCTTTTATGAATGTTTATGAACATTCCATCACATCAGAATAGTGCAAGAGCTGTTCACCAACAACAGATGGATTGTTGGCCACCTTGCATGTTAGCGGTTAGGTATCCCAGTGTGTTGCTCCATGCTAATCAGCGCTTGTTGCCAAATATGCTAAATGTTTTGTGACTCTGTGAAAGTAGCTGAAACTCTTTTTCTCTGAAACCATCATTGCTCTTTCTGTAGCTAAGAATAGGCCGCATTCCCATTCCGCTTGGCTAGGAGGTACCTGCAAGCTCACATGTTCTTTACTTCTTAGAAAGAAAAGAAAAGACCTCTCATGAATAGCTAATTACCTACCTGTTTCTGATCTCAAATTCAAATTCAGAAACTCACTGAACTGAGAGGGATTAGCGAGGCATCAATATTAGAATCCCAAGCAAAGCCATGATGGGCGGAGGGTTTCTTGCCCCCCAATTTGAAAGCCCGTGAAATGGGGACATGAGATTGGCTGCTTGAACGGATGCCAGCAATTCTTCCACACCTTGGGTTTTGCTTAAAGTAAAATGTCCCGGTGACTTTGAAGGATCCTGCCCAGGTAGAGCAGTCAAGGTGTTTCGAGGGATGCCCCAGAGGTTTAATAAGCAACAACCAAATTTCTTGATGTGGATGGTTGGAGGGAAGAATTTGCATTTCCTGACTTTAGAGCTGCATGTTAATATGTGCTACGAGTATTGGCTGTTGGTGCAACTTGGGAAAATGGGTGAAATTACACTAAGCGCTTGGTCCATGTCTTCAGCAGCCCTCCCCAACATCTGGGTTCTGTTTTGAGTTAGCACACCAGCTGCACAGTCCAAGGCTAAATGCCTGGAGCAGGACTCACTCCCTTCCCTTTCTTTAAGGCATGTGTGCATGTGTAGAGGTATTATACCAAAGCTGTATTCAGCAGCCTTGGAACAAGTGTTTTGCTCAGTGCAAGCTATCAGTGGAGAAGCTGGAGGTTACATGCTGGATGGTTCAGAATAGTATGGAGCTAGCATGGTCAAGTGCAAGTGTTGTTGTTTAGTTGCTTAGTCGTGTCCGACTCTTCGTGACCCCCTGGACCAGAGCACACCAGGCACCCCTGTCTTCCACTGCCTCCCGCAGTTTGATCAGACTCATGCTGGTAGCTTCGAGAACACTGTCCAACCATCTCGTCCTCTTGTGTCCCCTTCTCCTTGTGCCCTCCATCTTTCCCAACATCAGGGTCTTTTCCAGGGAGTCTTCTCTTCTCATGAGGTGGCCAAAGTCTTGGAGCCTCTGCTTCAGGATCTGTCCTTCCAGTGAGCACTCAGGGCTGATTTCCTTCAGAATGGAGAGGTTTGATCTTCTTGCAGTCCA